TTCATTTGAGAGTGATGCTGGGTTATACAGCCCTCAGGAGAGTAGGAAACGGTCACATCATCTGCCATGGAAGTGATGCTGAATTCTATACAGGAAGCATTCCAGTTCCCGTTTCTGCCTTTTTGGGGGTTGGGGGAGGGGAGTAGGAGGCTATTGTTGTGTAGAAGCACCATAAAGAGATGCTCCTTCCTGCCACAGAAAGCCAGCTATTGATAAAACATTCCTCTCATTACAAGGAGACGGTAGAATTTTGCTAAGTATGCTGGAGGGAGCAAACCTTAGCAATATAATTAATAGAGACTGTGCTTGAAGTGCTTCTTACAGAATGGGAGGTTTATTTCTCTGTTGGTGTTTTGGCCTTTGTCAAAAGGGATGCCGTCAGTCTCTGATCTATAGGAGTTTATGATATAAGAAGAATAACACAGAAGAATGGGTTGTAATGTATAGAAAAAACAGTAAAAACGCGAACACAGAAATTATTACATAACCTTTGCTTTTATTTGCTTTTGATGAGGACAGCAAATAAAAGCAAGTGTCATGTATAATTGAGAGGCTTAAAAATTGCTGGATGACTTTCATTTATTCAATAACCATTCACTGGGTGGCTACAAAATGCCAGAAGTGACCGATGAACTAGAGACATAAAATTATACAAGACATAGTTCTACTCTCAGAGAGCTCCTGGTGTACCAAGGGCTATGGAAGCGTAACCATTATGATGCCATCAGATAAGTGAAAATGTGGAAAGATGTAGGAGGCTCTCTGGGAGCCCAGACGAGAGAGCGATTACTCTTTCTGGAAGTTGAGGGAAAGCTTCAGAGAGGGGGCAGATCGCCACCTGGGTCAGCAAGGATGAATTATTTATTTATTTAATTAATTAATTTATATATATATTTTTGTCACACCGCCCGGCATGGGGGATCTTAGTTCCCCGACCAGGGATCGAACCTGTGCCCCCTGCAGTGGAAGCACAGAGTCTGGAATGCACTGGACTGCCAGGAAGTCCCTAAGGATGAGTTATTTAAATGACAATTCCAAGCAGAGGCTAAAGGAGTGAAAAGGCATAGAATCAGTTAGAATATACGGTTTAATTAGGAAAATAGCCAGTGAGGCAGAGACTATTTGTTGTCATTCCCCTTATTGCTCATTAAATTCCATTCCCACCAGGCATTGGTACCATATGCTTCTGAGGACTTGAGGCCCCGCTCCAGCCCAAGAGTATGGTCTTTAATAGTCTAAACCAATCACAGTCTATCAGTTCCCCTTACCAATGACTGTTTTTGGCATAGGGTGGTGTTATGAGTTGAACTGTCTCCCAAAAAGACATGTTGGAATCCTCACCCTGGTACCTGTAAATGTGATCATATTTGGAAACAAGGCGTTTGCAGATGGAATCATGGTAAGATGAGGTCATTAGGGTGGGCCTTAATCCAATATGACTGGTCTTTATAAGAAGAGAACACCATCTGATGATGCAGAAACACACAGGGAGAACACCACGTCATGAAGAGGCAGAGACAGGAGAGATGCATCTATAAACCAAAGAACACCAGGGTTTTCTGACTTTCCTCCTAGAGTCTTTCGAGAGGGCTGGTCCTGCTGACATCTTTTTTTTTGTGGCTGCGTTGGGTCTTCGTTGCTGTGCGCGGGCTTTCTCTAGTTGCGGCAAGCAGGAGCTACTCTCTGTTGCTGTGTGCGGGCTTCTCACTGCAGGGGCTTCTCCTGTTGCGGAACATGGGCTCTAGGCACGTGGGCTTCAGTAGTTGTGGCGTTCAAGCTCAGTAGTTGTGGCTCGTGGGCTCTGGAGCGCAGGCTCAGTAGTTGTGGTGCATGGGCTTGGTTGCTCTGCGGCATGTGGAATCTTCCTGGACCAGGGCTTGAACCCGTTTCCCCTGCATTGGCAGGCACATTCTTAACCACTGCAGCACCAGGGAAGCCCCCTGCTGACATCTTGATTTTGACCTTCTACCCTACTGTGAGATAATAAATGTCTGTTGTTTTAGGCTGCCCAGTTTGTGGTACTTTGTTACAGTAGCCCTGGGAAACTCATGGAGCTGGATAATGAAATGAGAGAAAGCAGCTAGGGACTTCTAGGGACACCTTCCTCCCTCTCCTTCTTAGAAAAGAACCAAGATGGGGCATTTCTCCCTCTGTCTTTGCCCATTACAGTTATGGTGGATGGAGCGGCTATACCCATTTCACAACAGCAAGGGGATCTGTCTGAGCACCAAGGCCAATCTGCAGAGTCTGGTAGAACAGAATGTACAGGCCCACAGTGATGTCATGGAATGGTTGAATTATCCTGGGATTTCTGGATTTTCTATTATATGAAATAATAAAATTTACTATTTCCTGTGCCATCTTAAGGGAAAACACCTTAACTCATACATCAAGGGTTAGTGGTGTCTAGAGGAAATAACTGAAGTCAGGAAGTCTTTTGTTTACTACCAGCTCCTGGCCATGGTCACCATTTCCAATAAGTCCTATGCAAAAGGGACACTCCGGGCTTCCCTAGTGGCACAGTGGTTGAGAGTCCACCTGCCGATGCAGGGGACAAGGGTTCGTGCCCCGGTCCAGGAAGATCCCACATGCCACGGAGCGGGAGGGCCCGTGAGCCATGGCCGCTGAGCCTGCGTGTCCGGAGACTGTGCTCCGCAACGGGAGACGCCACAACAGCGAGAGGCCTACATACCGCAAAAAAAAAAAAAAAAAAAAAAAAAAAAGGGACACTCCCCCAAAAGGCACATCCTTTATTACGAGCCAGTTCCAAATTCCATTAAGGCTTCTTCCCTGGTGAAGGGGACGGGCCCATATATGAGTCTTGAGGTCCTCCAGGCCTTTGTATGTGTTTCCCATCCCAGAAACATTCTCCCACCCCACTCTCTCCACCATCAAGCTATTCTCCACCCACCTTCTGGCTTTCAGCTTAGACACCATTGCTTTGAGAAGATTTCATTGACTCCCAAGACAGGTTTAGGTGCCCTGTTAATGGCTTTGTGGGCACCCTGGACTTGCGCCAACTTGGATTACACTGTATTGCAACTGCCTGTTTACTGTTGCTATCTCTCACTAGACTCTAAAGTCTTGGGGGCAGAGACTGTAACTGTCCCACTTACTGTTTCATGCCCAATCTAATACAAGGCGTGTCTCATAGTAGGCACTTGATAAATATGTATTAAGCGAATGAAAGACGTGGCAGTGCTGACAGTCTGCAGTCTAGAGTTTACAACATTCTGATGAGGGCCATGGAAAAGTGGGGCTGGGCAGGGCTTTGGCAAAATACAAAGGAGTGAGCCTTTGCCCCCAGCCTCTGGGTCCTATACTGGGATTCCTCCACACTCCTGACTTTTCCTTTTCCTCCCACCTTCTACTTTTCTTTCTAGTTCCCTTAAAAAATTTCTAGATCTGCTCTTATTTGAACTGAATAGGTTAAAAAAAAAAAAAAAAGGAATGATCATGGGTTACCTAGCATGACCAACTAATCTACTACTTTTCCTAGGGAAAAAGCAGTTTAAAAGTGCTTTTAAGGGACTTAAAAGCTGCTGGTCCAGTGGTAGGACTCCACACTTCCACTGCAGGGGACATGGGTTCCATCCCTGGTCGGGAGAACTAAGATCCCACAAGCCGTCTGGCAAGACCCTCCAAAAAAAACAAAAAACAAGAAAAAAAACCATGTGCTTTTTTTTTTTTTTTTTGCGATATGTGGACCTCTCCCTGTCGTGGCCTCTTCCGTTGCCGGACGCGCAAGCTCAGCGCCCCCGGCTCACGGGCCCAGCCGCTCCGCAGCACGGGGGGGCCTCCCGGACCGGGGCACGAACCCGTATCCCCTGCATCGGCAGGCGGACTCCCAACCACTGCGCCACCAGGGAGGCCCCCAGGGAGGCCCCCAGGTGCTTTTAATACCAGTTAAACTACATGGAACTATGTCTCCAGAAAGCTCCTAAAAAATAATGTCAGGAATTTATTATAGGGAGGGAGGAGGAAGGAAGTGGGACTTTCAGTACCTTTATAACATAGTCGGTAAGTGGTTGCCTACTTTGGTCCCAGGGTTCCAGTAAGAACTTTTGGACATCATCCCATCTTTGATACTTGAAAACATTTTCCATAATGATCTTGGTGTGGTGTTAACCCAATCTAAGGTCATTCATTCCTAAAGGCTGACCATGCGTTTGTTTTATAGCTTTTTCTTTTACAGAGGAAGGCATGCAGTGTTCTGGTAGGTATAAGAATTCTAACGGCAATTTTTTTTCAATATTCATTCAAAAAACATTTGGGGGCTTCCCTGGTGGCGCAGTGGTTGGGAGTCCGCCTGCCGACGCAGGGGACACGGGTTCGTGCCCCGGTCCGGGAAGATCCCACATGCCGCGGAGCGTCTGGGCCCGTGAGCCATGGCCGCTGAGCCTGCGCGTCCAGAGCCTGTGCTCCGCAACGGGAGAGGCCACAGCAGTGAGAGGCCCGCGTACTGCAAAAAAGGAAAAAAAACAAAAAAAACAAAAAAAAACATTTGGGTGCCTCCCATGAATGCACCAAATACTGTGCTAAGCATCCGGTGATCAATGGTAGGATATTCAGGAGCCCTATCCTAGCGGAGTTTATATTCCATTGGGAGGACAGACTACAAATAAAAATATAAATTTGCTCCAAATGTTGTGAATGAAAGCGATAGATTGTTGAGATAAGAGAGTAAGGTGCAGGGAGGGCACCTAGTGGGTGATCACAGACAACTAATCTAAGAAGGTGACATTTAGACGGAGACTTAAAAGATGAGAAGGAGTCAGCCTTCGGAAATGGGGTCACGTTCACCGTAAGTCAGTTAAAAATAGCCCGCGGGCTCTCCAGCAGCAAGGTTGGACGTATGGGCAACGAGGCTCCGCCGCCAGCACTAAAGATGGCGGACGGGGGGGCGGGGACGGGGAAACGGGGCGTGCCCGCACCGTGATTGGTCAGTCAGGAGAGGCGTCACGTGGGCTGAGGAGAGCATCCGGGCTCCCGGCAGAGGCGCTGCGGAGGCTCCCGGGAGAGGGCGGCGCGGGGTTAGCGCGGCCAGCGGACAGCGGCGGGACCTCCCGGGCAGCCAGCGTGGACGGAGCGGCGCGCGTGCCGAGCATGGCGGGCTCCCTGCCTCCCTGCGTGGTGGACTGCGGCACCGGGTAAGAGCTGCGGGCGCCCACCCCGCTCCCGCGCGGCCCCGCTCCAGCCCCGGCCGAGCACCTGCTCGCGGCCCGCCCCCTCTCTCACCTGGAGGCGCTCCGCCTGGGCCCCGGGTGTCGGCCGACAGCTGGGCAGGTTCGGGCGGCCGGCCCGTCTCCGCGCCCCGCTCCTCTTCTCCACGCCCGCCAGGACCACGCGCGGAACTCGCTCCCCTTGATGCGAAGAGGACCGAGGGGAGGAGTCGGGCCGGCTCGCCTCGCCTCCCGCCTCCTCTCTTCGCGCTCGGCCGGGGCCTCCCGGGATGCCAGGTTTCAGGCAGGCGGCTGCAGACCCCGCTGCCGTCACTTGCCTTCTGCCTGCCTGACGGTGCCCCTACCTTCTCACGTTCTTAAAAGGGGCCCTCGTTTTGGGTTCCCAAACGCATGCCATTTCTCCTTGCTGATGATTCTCACTTACTTGTGGAGGTTTTTATATTCATTTACCAAGTTGACACCTTTTTTTGCAGCCCACTCTGCTCTCTTCCAGGAGTGAATGGTTCTCTCGGGCTAAGCTAGCCTCTTAAAGATCTTTCAAGATGGGGTTTTAATCATTTTTTCCACAAAATATTCCATGGTATGTTCACCTTAGCCTTGATTCTTTTCTGTAGAGAAATGCACTTGGTTTAGTTTCCTTGACAACCTTGTAGGGGTGTCTCCTTTAATTTGCTTCAGTCCGTCTCCTACGGATCGTTCTTTCCTTTTAATGCTGAAGCCACCGGTAGTGGTTACAGGCTGGAAAAAACTGCCTCTTTGCTTGTACTAATTTTCCTTTTTGAAATACACATTGTACCAGAAGTTCCGGGGCTCTTTATTTTAGAAGTTGTTTTGCTATCCAAAACCCAAGCCCAAACCAGTATTGATATTAACCCCCCCGCCCAGTTGTTGGCTTCCTTATTCAACCCCTCCTCCCAGGAACTGGTGTTCACCCCACACCCACCTGAGGTCTGTTTGTGTCAAGAGTGCAGGAAGCAGGTAAAAGTTTTTCCTTCTCACATTTGCACGTGAGATTTTTTGTTTTTGTGGTTTTGGTCTTGTAAAACTATTGAAATGCAAAGCATTTCTTGGCAGAAGCAATAACATGTGGCCACAGGGTTTGTCATACCTCTGCTAATAGTAAGCTGGGGACTTTACTCATCATTCTTGCTGTAAATATCTAAAATGTGGTGCTCAGTTTTGACCTTTTGAGGTAGGTGGTATCTCACTTGGAGGTGTAACTTCAGAATCCCTTTGTTTTATGGCCCAGTTATGTTATTGTCTTCAGGCCATCGTAGGCTTTGGTGTCAGGACTTACAAACAGTGGCCAGGAATCTTCCCAGTGGGTTTCACATGGACATGTTCTGTTGTGGAAACAACAGTGGTTAATTATAAATTTCCAGTGTCCAGTGTGTGGCCAGATGGAGCAGTGTGGAAGAGCCTAAATTTATTTAAGCTTGTTAGTAGCTCTTATATTTCCCATAGAGCTAAGTGGTTTTTGGATTGACTTTTACCTCAGAATACAATAAAAAGGGGTAAAATGCAGATTAAAAATAACTAGGACCAAGGAAAAGAATGGGCCTGGAGCATCACCCTAAACTGTAGACCAGTGGTGCAGCTGACCGGCCTCACATTTGGCCTTGGTCTTCCTGTCTGACAAAATTATAAGAGGGTCGTCAGCAGTTATGTAATTCCTGTCATCGAGAAGGAAGAGAAATACCTGTTTCTCAGGTGAAAAAACTTTTCCTAGTACTGAATTCTAACAGAAAAATTCACACTGAATTATACATAGTGGACCTTAATGATTGAGTAGACAGTGTACTAAATAGTATTTTTTTTTTTTTTTTTTTTTTTTTTTTTTGCGATATGTGGGCCTCTCACTGTCGTGGCCTTTCCCGTTGCCGGACGCGCAAGCTCAGCGGCGATGGCTCACGGGCCCAGCCGCTCCGCGGCATGTGGGATCCTCCCGGACCGGGGCACGAACCCGTATCCCCTGCATCGGCAGGCGGACTCTCAACCACTGCGCCACCAGGGAGGCCCTAAATAGTATTTTTTAATTGCAAATAAATTTCATCCTGGGAGCCTGGCCTCCTCTAATGAGCCCTGAGACCAGCTCAGTGAGCACAGGTGAGCTGGGAGCCACAATAATATGGACCACGGCTCTGCCTGCTCCGGAGATGAGGCTTCATTTACTTAAGTGAATTACTAGGCTGCTTAGTGTTCAGAGAATATCCCACAAAAACTATAGTGTTACTTCTCTTAACTGAACTTTTCGTATTTTTGAAGATTTTAATATTTTTAAACTTACTTTGAAAAATGTCAGATCTACTGAAAAGCTGCAATAAGAGTACCGAAAAACCGGCTATATATTCTCTATCCAGTTTACCAACTATTAACATTTGCTTTATTGTTCTCTATATACTATACACATTATTATTTTCTGAACTGTTTGTAAGTCGCAGACATCGTGCTGTTTTATACCAAGATACTTCAGTGTATCCTTTATGAAAACAAAGACCTTCTCTCATATAGTCACAGACCAGTGATCAAAATCAGAAAATCTAACGTTTATGCAGTAGAGTTGTCTGCTAAGTCTGGATCCCATGAATGGTCCCATTATGTCTCTGGACGCGCAGCTCTCTGCCCTCATCCGGCACCGTACACTGTGTTTGCTTGTCATCATGTCTTTTTAGTCTCGTTTCACTAGACCAGTTCCTTAGCCTTTTTCTGTCTTTCAGGACAGCGACATTTTTGACAGTCAGTTGTTATGGATCATGTTCCTCAATTTAGGCTTGTCTGGTGTTTCTTTATGACAGATACAGGGTGTGTGTTTTTATCAGGAGTACCACAGAAGTGATGTCAAAGCTTCTCAGTGCGTCACATCAGAGGCTTTTCCCCTCCAGCTTTATTGAGGTGTACTTGACACACAGCATAAGTTTAAGGTTACAACGTGTTGATTTGGTACATTTATATATTGCAAAATGATTATCACATTACGATACTAACACCTCCATCCTGTCACATAATTACCTTTTTTTTTTTTTTGTGGGGAGAATATTTAAGATCCACTTGTCTTGGCAACTTTCAAGTATAAAACAGTATTATGAACTATAATCACTGTGTTGCCCATTAGCTCCCCAGAACTTACTCATCCTATCAGAAGGCTGAAGATAGTTGATGACATTCATTTGGATTATTTGGATACGGTGGTGTCGACTAGATTTCTTCATTGTACGGTTACTGTTTTCCCCTTTGTAATTAATGTCACTTGTGGAGAGATATTATGAGATTATGCAAATACCCTTTTCTTCCTTAAACTTTCAGCCATTAGTTTTAGTATCCATTGGTGGTGATTCTTGTTCTAATGGATTATTACAGTGATGGTTGCAATGTTGTGGGTTTTTTTTAAAAACTTCAGTATTTTGTACATTTGTTAGTTAACATTTTACTATAAGGATGCAGTTTTCTGTGGCTCCCATTTATTTATTTATCGTTTGTATGGGTTATTATCTTGTTCAAAGAGTTATTTATGTCATTCTTACTGTATTCAATGGATTATTACTTCTTATTGCCATTATTTATTTTGATGCTTAAATTGTCCAGATGTGGCCAGCAGAAGCCCATTCAGGCTGTTTCTGGAAGTTCTTTAGACATGTCCCCATCATCTTTTGAGCATTTTGTTATTATCAAAAGACTGCAACGTAGCCAGTGCAGTGCATTTGTCTTTTTGCATTTTTGCTGGAGCATCTCTCAGATAGGTTTCTAGAAGTGGGATTTCTGGGTCAAAGGGTAAGTGCATGTGTAATTTTGCTAGACAGTGTCAAATCCCACTCAGTAGTGTGTGTCTTCACCAAGCAACGTGTGAGAGTGCCTATGGCTTCTTACAGACTCACCAGCAGAGTAATTGCCAAATTAAAATTTTTTTTTACCAATCTAGAAGGTAGGAAATGATATCTTATTGTAGTTTTAATTTGAATTTCTTATATTATTATGTGGGAAGATGAGCATCTTTTCGTATGGTTAAGAGGCATTTGCGTTTCTGTTTTCTGTCTCTTCGTTTCTCTAGCCAGTTTTTCTGTGGGTTTTTAAGTCTTTTGCTTCTTTATTTTTAGAAGCTCTTTATGGATTGGGGTGTGGTGAGGTTCATTGATTTGCTAGGAACAAGCACAGTATGATAGTGAAAAGGTAAAAGCAAGAGCAGCCAAGGAAAAAGGCACATGGGGCAGGGTCTGGAGGAAACCAGGAGCAAGCATCCGGAATCCTTTCTCAGTGCCCAGAGTTTTTATTGGCTGCTGGTCATGGCACCTCCTGCCTAGCACAAACCAGAATTCCAGAGTCTCAGAAGGAAAGCAGGTGTTCAGCATAAACTGTATTTGTGTTAATTTTATAATCTGGTACTTTACAAAATGCTCTTATTGTTTGTATGAATTTTTCCCTTGATCTTTAGGGTTTTCCAGATACAGAATTTTGTCATTGGCAAATAGAAATTGTTTTCCCTCTTCCTTTCCGTTTTTAGGAGCTCTGATTGCCTTTTTTTTTTTTCTTTATTTTGACATACTGCAGTGGCCATTGCCTCCAAATAATGTTAAGTAGGAGTGGAGTTAGTGGGCATTATCCTTTTGTTCCTTACTTTAGTGGAATAGTTTCTGGTGTTTCTAAAATAAGTAAGATGCTGGCTTTTGGGCTGCTGTGTGTATGTACATACTTACACACGTATACAAATATATGTTAAGAAAATTATACAAATATATTAAGAAAGTATCTGTCAACTGCTGTATTTTGGAATGTTATAACATGAATGAGTGTTGCATGTTGTATGATTTCTTTATAATAAATGGAACATGTGGTTTTCTTCCTTAGCCAGTTAATGTGGTGGATTTCCTAATATTGAACCACTCTTGCATTCTGTAATAATCCCCACTTGATCGTGCTGCATTATTTTTTGATGTGTAGGTAGATTCTGTTAATATTTTATTTAGATTTTCATG